TTGTCGACTTTTTTCCCTTTTCCTAAACTTTCTCTTCCTTGCATTGATTAGTCAGATATTTGAACATAAATTTCTCATCCAGTTTTATGTTACCTAAGCTTACTTGTGTTATCTTTTCTTTTCCCAAAAAACAAGTTTTCATATTTGAAAGAAAAAAAAAATAACCCTGGGAATACCCTTACCCATTACTTTGTTCCAATACTGTAAGATTTTATTAACTAGGATATAATTGGGAAATACAGTAAGATAAAGAATATCTTAGGTATAAGAAAGCAAATAATCTTGAATATAGGTTCTTCTGGTGAATATGAAACTGGCCAACACTGTTAATTTAGAAACTCCAGCCATTATTTACCTCACTTAGAAACTAATAAAATGTCCTTTTCTACTAGAGTAAACCAAGATAAAATTATTTTATCTACTACAAATTGCTTCAAATTGTAAGTTAAAATAATTACTTTTATCTTCAGTAAAATTTAGGTATGTACACTCTTTGAGGGAGAAGAGGGGCTCATTCAAAGGACCTTAATATTCTGCATATATAGTAGATTCATGCATTTAATCCATTACATTTTTTAATAAATAAGCTAAAATTTTTGCAGGAAAATGACTTGAACAAGGAAGTTCAGGTTAATGATTAAGACAGGGGTGTTAAATCAAGAATTAGGCATAAGACAGGATAAAAAACATTTGAAGACAAAATAGAGAAAGGGATGAGGTTCAGAAGATTAGAAAAAAGTACAGAGGAGAAAGGTTCTGCTGGAACTAAATTGTTTAACGGAGACAAACCTATCTTGTGAAGTTAGCAGAAAGTCTGTAGTCCATCTCGAAGTAACAGGAGCTTCAGAAGAAATGCATAGTGGACTGAGGGAGCAGACTGATACTTCTAGTAGCAAAATATTTTTCTTTCAGTAGGTTTTCAACTAACAGTATACCCTTGTCAGTAAGAAAAGTTCTATTGGTGGTATGCAATAAGAGAAATATATATGCATGTGTGTATGTGTATGTGTGTATTTTGTAAGACTATAGAAGTATTAAACTTTTTACTTTATGAAAATGTGTAATAGTTCACTTTTTAAAGGACGCTTTTCAAAATATTCTGTAAATGTCATTAATAAAATAGATACAAATTTGTGTGAATTCTCCCAAATATCTTAAAGCATTTTAATATTTAAATTTTTTATAGAAATTTAATTTTAAACACCTTAAAGCATGAGCTGATTATACACTTTAATTGATTAATAGATTATTTCTTTGTCCTTCTGTGTGCACAGACATACTTTGACACCCATTGTCATTTCCTTACATGCCTTCCTAAAGACCGTTGTCTCCTCCAAGTTTAATCCAATATCTCTCCAGAATCAGGGTAGACATTTTTATCGTCTCAACACCAGAAATAATTGAACCTTTTGGATGCTGATTTGTTTTTACATTATTGACCCAATGACTCATATAACCAGTGTTGTACTTACAGCTAGAAGGCTTGGAGCCAAAGTTGTTGCTTATTTAAAGGAATGAAGGACTCAGGTATTAATTTTAAACACATTACAGTAAGACAGTAAAAGTGCTTTCTACATTGACTTGCATTGCCAATTTTTAGATAGCTTTTAAAAAAGTGTCATATGTGATAGATGTTATGAACTGTCATTAAGTAGAAATACATAAAATTAGATTGTACAGCACTTAGAAGAAAAGCTTTATCTAAGAAATAGATAATATTAGTGCTCATTTTTCTGAGAATATTAAGAAAAAAACCTCACAATCTTTGAGTAACTCCTACCAGGGAAAGAAAAGGATTGAACACAACAGATTTGACATTTATTTATATGTCAAGAAACACTCTGGATAGGCAAAACTAGGTAAAATAAGATTATAAGTTTAAGTTCCTCCAAATTTTAATCAACTCCAAACTTAATAGATGTTTCTTTAATATTAATACAAAAATAAATATAATTTTTTCAATTAATAAAATTTTACTTTTTGATTGCTCAGTTCTTGAATTAAGATTTGAAAAAAAAAACAGTTTTAAGAATTTATTAACTATTAATTTATTAACTATTAATGGAAAAGGATATAATTCAATATTTATGTATTCACTTTTTTATTTTTGAAAGACTTTATTACTGTAGAGCTATTGACAATTTTATTTATTACTATAATTGCACTAAAATAGAACAGATACAAATTCAAGTTAAAATGGAATATCCAAAACCAAATTTTGTATAATTAAAATATTCTAAAAGTGTAATTTAGAGCCATTCTTTGCACCTACCACTTGATTTCTTGAAGAGCAATATAGAGTAATATATGTTTATAACTTTGAGGAAGGTTTCTTATCTTAAATCTCTTCTCTGAAGGAATGGATTGCTTAAGAACACTGAGCTTGAGAGTTCTTGAAGTTTTGTTTGTGAGGACCTACGTTATTTTCCTGTGGCTGCTGAAACAAATTACCACAAACTTGATGACTTAAAACAATGGTGATTTATTCCCTCACAGTTCTGGAGGTCAGGCATTTGAAATCAGTTTCACTAAGTTGTGATTATGGGACCAGCAAGGCAGTGCTTCCTCTGGAGGCGCTAGGGGAGCATCTGTACTTGGCCTCTCGTAGTTTCTGTCAACAGCCTAGCTTTTCTTTGCTCGTGGCTATATCACTCTTATCTCTGCTTCTTTGGTCACATTTCCTTCTCCTCATCTGTGTGTCAAATTCCCCTCTGCTTTCCTCTCATACAGATACATGTGGTTGCACTGAGTGCCAACCACATAACTGAGACAATCTCCCTATATCATGATGCTTAACTTAATCACATCTGCAGGGTCCTTTCTGTCATATGACATTCACAGGTTCCAAGGCTTAGGATGTGGATACCTTTGGAAGTCATTTTTCAGCCTACTACAGCCTCAGATCTAGGCATTTTCGTAAGAGCAGTTTCATCTGCCGGGAGGACTTTCCTTTATGTGGTTCTCCCAAATTTTGAAGTTATTTCTAAGTTAATAGCAGGTCTTTGAGTAACTTTAAAATTTTGTATGAATTTGTTTACCCATTCATTCTTTCAGTAAGCACTTGTTACTATAGAAGGATTAAGAAAAGGAAATTAATACTTGCTTCAAGAAGAATTTACCATTTGCTTTTGCAGATAAGAACAAACATACATAATTGAATGAAAATATAGGAGTTAAAAGTAAGAGAAACATTGAGATATATGATATATGAATAATTAAAATTGAGAAAAAGTTTAAAATATTGTGAGTTCAGAAAAAGGAAATACCAGTGTGTATTGAAAATCAGAAAAAAATAAATTACTACATGGAGGATGGTGAAGTGGAACTCGATGAATGATATAAACTATGAAATTATGTAAACTAGAATTTATGTAGTTAGAGAAAATGGAGAAAGGTGATGTCAGGTGGGTAAAAGAAAAGGCAAAGATATGATTTTAAAAAATGGATACTGGTAACAATTTTTAAAATGTCTGTTCTGGCTATACTCAATAGAGATGATAAAGTTGTTGAGAGTCTGTATGGGTGAGCAACAGGAGATAAAAATTTCAAAGGTAAGAAGGGATCAGACTATAGAGCTTTGACTGGTAAAGAATGTTAATTTTATCTTGTAATAATGGGATATTAAAGGTTTTTGTTTCTCCAATTAGTAATGATATTTTTAAAGGAGTCTCATGTCATTAGCAAATGAGATGGAGTAAATATGAGAAAAAGCTGGAGCTTTGCTAAAACTATTTGGAGGACTTTCCTTTATGTGGTTCTCCCAAATTTTGAAGTTATTTCTAAGTTAATAGCAGGTCTTTGAGTAACTTTAAAATTTTGTATGAATTTGTTTACCCATTCATTCTTTCAGTAAGCACTTGTTACTATAGAAGGATTAAGAAAAGGAAATTAATACTTGCTTCAAGAAGAATTTACCATTTGCTTTTGCAGATAAGAACAAACATACATAATTGAATGAAAATATAGGAGTTAAAAGTAAGAGAAACATTGAGATATATGATATATGAATAATTAAAATTGAGAAAAAGTTTAAAATATTGTGAGTTCAGAAAAAGGAAATACCAGTGTGTATTGAAAATCAGAAAAAAATAAATTACTACATGGAGGATGGTGAAGTGGAACTCGATGAATGATATAAACTATGAAATTATGTAAACTAGAATTTATGTAGTTAGAGAAAATGGAGAAAGGTGATGTCAGGTGGGTAAAAGAAAAGGCAAAGATATGATTTTAAAAAATGGATAATGGTAACAATTTTTAAAATGTCTGTTCTGGCTATACTCAATAGAGATGATAAAGTTGTTGAGAGTCTGTATGGGTGAGCAACAGGAGATAAAAATTTCAAAGGTAAGAAGGGATCAGACTATAGAGCTTTGACTGGTAAAGAATGTTAATTTTATCTTGTAATAATGGGATATTAAAGGTTTTTGTTTCTCCAATTAGTAATGATATTTTTAAAGGAGTCTCATGTCATTAGCAAATGAGATGGAGTAAATATGAGAAAAAGCTGGAGCTTTGCTAAAACTATTGTGATAATTCAAATATGAGGCAATAAAGGCCCAGATTTGGAAAGTAGAATTATTAATAAAAGCATAGGTAAGAAGGACAAGTAGAATTCATAAGGCTTAGTGCTTAGTTTGAGAAGAGCAGGATATGGAAAGAGAGAAAAGAAGAAAATGTAAAAGACAGATGAATACAAAGACTGAAAAAGGGCTTTGGATGAAAGGTGAGTTAATCATAGACATACTGAGTTCAAAGTTACAGTTGGTCATTTAAGAAGAAATGTGCATTAGTCAGTTTTAAGCAGTGGCTGTAAGCTCAGGAATTGGTATGACTTTGGAGCTTCCATAAAGGTAAATCTAAGAAGATTAATTTCCTAGGAAAATAGAATGAAAAGAATCAAGAATAACCAGAATAGCACAGAAATAGTGATCTCACTGACTTGTATATGTATCCCAAAGGCGGTTGTTTTGTGTTTTTTTTTTTTTTTTTGATACCAGACTGTTCCCATGATAGCAGGCCCTGTTGAGACTGATTGGAAGGAGACTAAGTCTTGTATTGATGGACTTGATGAACAGTATAGATATTGCATGACCCGCTGAAAAACGAGGTCAGTGTGAGATGTTTGTATATATTTTCTCCTACTAACATCATATACTAACCTCATCTAGAGTATCTGTTAAAGGCTGGCACAACCACCTTTGTTGAATGAGTGATTGAGCCAATTTGCCATTCCATCCTCCGTATAGTATATTTTAGTCCCCTGATAGGAGACTGAGCCTTCCAAACACAAGTTCTTCCAGCCAAGCATTAATGAGGTTGAAAGGCTCTTGGAATAATCCCTGTTTCCACAGAAATTATAACAACTCTGCTTTCTTCTGGCTCACATGTGTCCGACTCATTTAAACATTTTAATGGCCATTGTGGGATTTTACTTTGTGAAATCCCTGGTGAGTTTTAATTCTAGTATTCAGGTTACTAAAAGGGGACCAAATTATTATAGAAATGGCTTATAAGTAATTATAAGATGTAAACTTTACTTATAAAAATCTGATATTTAAAATGAATACATATCTCTTGAATGAGAGATATTGGATATTGTATATCCAATATTGTATATAATGGATATTGTATATCCATTACAATCCATGAGTACATGAGAAAGCATTACTAAAATAATGAAGTTTTTCTAGGATAGGGTCTGTAATAAGGAGAGAATGTATTTGTTTACTATCAAAATTTGTAATGCACCTGTCATAACATTGGATTCTTCTTAAGTATAAATAACAGCACTTTAGAGGAAGAGGAGACATTTGTTTGAAAGTATGGATAATACCTAATCTCTCTATCTTGGCAGACAAGGTGGTTTTAATAAATGGCTAGCATAAGCTTCTCTAGACTTGCTACCTTGAAACATGACTCTGAATCAAGTACTGCAATAAATTACACACTGTTTCCATGTGCTTTCTAGCTTTCTCCAAATGAGTGTCTCCAGGGAGAAAGAGAAACGTTATTAATACATTTGCTAAAATGTGAGTGTTTTTCCATCACTTTATGTTCTTTATCTTTAAAAGAAATAAGTACAGTGTTTACAAAAGATACTAAACTAAAACTAAAGTAAACTAATACTAAAGTAAAACTAAGTGTTTACTAAAGATGTATTTTCAAAAATTTTATATTGATATTTTAACAAAGTAAAATGGCTATTTTATAAATATTATATTAATCTACTTTGACCCACTTATAAATTTTACTTAAAATTGTCACTAAAAATTAGTGTCAGTCTTTGAGTAGATCTAGTATATATCCAGTGAGGCTAAGACCTATTTACTATTGGCTCCTGTAAGATGATCTTAAATGTCAGGTAAAAGCACCCCGTTAGAAAAGCATGGTATTTTGACATTAAAAAGAGAAAACATAAAGGTAAATATTGATTGGGATAAACTATTTAAAAGTCTGTATATGAAAACACAATGTGAACAAACTGTCAAATCAGCAATATATATTTAATGTGTATAACAGAAGATAATAAACTGTTTTTATAAGTAGTGAAAAGAACAAAGAGCCTTCTCAAACTCCAATGAAAACACAAGCAAAGGCATGGTTATAAAATTCATAAAGTACTAACACTAACTTGAAAAATGCTTTACATGCATTGGTTATGTTAGATATATGATTTAAACTAAGATAGAATGTTTCTCCCATACTAAATTGGCAATGATGAAAAACAAGAAAAATACAACACCCAAGTTAGAGTTGGCCACTGTGGTCAGAGTGCTGTAAGAGTGTGGTTGGGAATCAGTGCAGATGCAGTGAATATAAAACTGGTGTGGAGTCAGACAGATTTTGGTTCAACATGGCTTTACTACCTCAATCACATTATTAATCTCAAGGCTTCCATTAAACTCGTGAGGAGTTTAAAAATTAGAATAACACTAGGTACTTCATAGATTATTGTAAAAATCAAAAAGAATAATTAATACATGTTAAATATCTATCACAGTGCCTCTTTCTAGTTTAGTTGTTTGTCCTATTAAATTGGTGAAACATTAAAGAGGACAATTTGTCACTATCTATTAAAAGCCTTATAATGATGTATAACTTTTGATCTAGCAAACTTCTAGACATTTCTATAGAAGTAAATATGGATGTAAGCTCATCAGGTTTTAGCTACAAGAGTACCGATGAGCCTGGACTATAACAGGGAAAAGTTATAAATAACATTGTGCCTTAAACAGTAAAGGTTTGATTAAAGCTAAATTATAGTTTATCTATTAAAATATGCACTGTTTAGTTTAAGAAGTTGTTAGCCAACAGGTAACATAAAAGAAGCTAAATTATTTGGCTTTTAAACAGTAACTATATCTTAAGCTTATTTGTGGAGCCATATTTGGCTAATAGGGCAATTAGAACAGTGCAGAGACATAAGAATACACAGAGCATGCAGGGAATAAAGACATATCAAACATGGCTAGAGCACAAGGACCTATTAGAACATCAAGGGACACTACTGAAAAGCCATATGGGGATGAAATTAGGAGGTGCCTTGAATGTCATAACTAGGGAATTTTTACTTTATGTTTGGACAGTGAAGAGTTGCTGGAGCGTTTAGTCTGATTTAATTCTAACGTAACATGTATGGGATGTAATTATGGAATTCCTATGATACATGGAAATAACGAGTTGTTCTTTTTTTAACCACACAGGTGAAAGAAGATGTAGGCCAGGACAAAGACAGAGATCCTGGTTTTAAAAGGACTTACAGGTAGGAGTCAAAGTGTATTATTTTCATAGAAATAGGGGCTTTGGGGACCGATGAAATTTCATGAGTGTCTATGTTAGATTTTGATTTTGTTGGTTTTGTGAAAGGGAAGAAAATGAGTACAGTTTGGAAAGTTGTGATTTTGAAAGAATTCCAGTTATTAATTAGCAACAGATTCCAGAGCTCAGGAGAGAGGCTGAAGATGAAGATATAAATCTGAGTCATCAGTAACACGAAACTACTTCTAGGAATCCACGTCATCTTTTCAAAAGCATAAAGAAGGTAATCCCCTAACTTCTAGTAACACATTTTCTACCAATAAATTGTAAGTTCTTCCTTTCACTTGTAAAGTGTTATATTCAAGTTTTAATCATGTTCTTATTTATTTTCATTCTTTTCAAAGTAATCATCATTTTAATATGGTTTGCTAATGTAAAGAAAGCATTTCAAGATCAGGTAGGAGTTAATAGAGTATCAAATTTTGTTATTAGAGCTAGAAGACTTGAATTACTAAAGTTTTAAAGAGAGCACTTCAAGATGATCAAGTATTGATTTTAATAATAATTCTTCACTTGCTACCCTGTTTCACAGTATTCCTAATACAAAAACACCGATGCACTCTTTCATCTATTTACTTCACTAATTTTTATTAGGTGCCTACAATATCCCAAGCACTGTACCCAGTGCTTGGAATGACGAAAGAAAGAGTATGCTGGATACTTCCAAGAACCACTGAAAAGTAAGTTTCTTCATGATATCTCCAAAATTTAACAAAAAAACAAACTACCAAAACATCCATGCAAGGAGAAATCGTGAAAGGTATAACTGTCCTGAGATATAAACTGCCTTATTTTAGAAAAGTAAATGAGCAAAAAAACAAAACAAAACCTAAAATAAAGAAAAAAACATTTGTTTTGACTTTATTGTAAAAAGCAGGAGAAAAACATTTGAATATTTTTAGGGGTTGGGACTACTTTTAAAAATTCAAAGCTAAATAACCATAAAAATAAATGCTGTTTCCATGGTAACACAAAAGAATAGCAATAAAAACAGGGAGGTAGCTCTGAGAATAGAATCCTGAGATCTGTTCTTTTTAAAAGTCAGTCAAAATTTTAAATCATGCTAGTATTAATACTGCTAGAAATATTGAATTCCATAATAAAAGATACCAGAATAGCATTTGTGTGATGCTTTAATATTTTTCATAATATTTATTTGTTAGAATAACAGGAGAGGCAGTTCTTTTTATTGACCTTAACAATACCATAAAATAATCTTGTGCTTTTAACTTACCTCTGGCATTAGGCACTGAATAAATATTTTTTACTTTTAGAAGTAAAAACTGAGATAATGGAGAACACAAATGGAAATAATAAAGAGAATAATTAATATCATTGGAGCAAAATGTGCTATCTAGTGTATGCTATGCTAGTTATTTGTTTTATAAAGTTTACTAATCTTTAGAGAAAAAATGGAGGGAAAATTTTTATGCATTTTATAAATAAATACTGAAGCTCAAAAATATTCAGTAACTTACAAGGTATGCAATTTATCAGATCAGAATAGTGTTATAAAATGATGTTCTTTTATTTCAGCAGTCCAATTTCTCCATTTTTATTTGTTTAATTATGACAGTTATATATATATGTATATATACACACAGGAAAATGAGGGGTAAAAAGAAAAATTTCCTATTCCAGCTTAATCCTCTCTCCAGTGGTAATTTATATTCCAAATAGATATCTATATATTTCTAATAAGTTGCATATCATTCATATATAGCTATGACAGACACTATTAATACATAGAGAAAAATGTTCAAAGACATTTTCCACAAACGAGGTCATTCAAATTCAAAGTAAGTTGTACTCTGTGTTATTTTTACCTCTTTTCAGTTTTTGAAGACAATACATTTAGACCTCTCAGTCATTTTGGTGGCTAAGTAGTAATCTCTATACTCTGGATGCACTATGATTTATTTAAACATTCTCCTCTTGGTAAATATTTGTTTCCATTATTTGTGTTATGACAAAATGGGCTTAGGTAAGCATTCTCATATTTGTAGACATGAATATGTGTTCACATAGATGAAAAATAGTTTTAAAGTTTATCTTGTCATTAACTAGATAATGTAGAGACATTAGAAAATGTGTAGTTATGGGTATTTTTTACTTTTTATTTGTCCCCTTTGTTTATGAATCCCTGAGATTAGTATCTTTCCATAATTTTGGTTACTATGACAATAACAACATTTTTGGCAATGTATATATAGTAAGTGAATAAGTAAATAAAGTTGCTCAGTCGTGTCCGACTCTTTGCGACCCCATGGACTGTAACCCGCTGTAGGCTCCTCCATCCATGGAATTTTCCAAGCAAGAGTACTGGAGTGGATTGCCATTTCCTTCTCCAGGGGATCTTTCTGACCCAGGGACTGAACCCAGGTCTCCCACATTGCAGGCAGACGCTTTACCGTCTGAACTCATATAGTACTAGGGTATAAATCCATTATTCTGACCATGAATTCTTTCATCTATTTACTTGACTAGAATTTATTAAGTGCAATAAGTGCCTCCCATATCCTAAGTACCAGGTACTGGGTATGAAGAGTGGAGCAAGATATGGGCCCTGCCAATAGGAAGTCTGTAGTAGAGTGGCAGAGTTTACTTCTGGACATATGAAGACATTTAAATATTAAGTGTTTTGTGTCATTTAGACAAATTTAAGCATATAACTGGTTATCCTTTTGAACAGTAACCATAGCAACAGTTAGAACTGGACATGGAACAGCAGACTGGTTCCAAATAGGAAAAGGAGTACGTCAAGGCTGTATATTGTCATCCTGCTTATTTAACTTATATGCAGAGTACATCATGAGAAATGCTGGGCTGGAGGAAGCATAAGCTGGAATCAAGACTGCCGGGAGAAATATCAATAACCTCAGATATGCAGATGACACCACCCTTATGGCAGAAAGTGAAGAAGAACTAAAGAGCCTCTTGATGAAAGTGAAAGAGGAGAGTGAAAAAGTTGGCTTAAAGCTCAACATTCAGAAAACTAAGGTCATGGCATCCGGTCCCATCACTTCATGGCAAATAGATGGGGAAACAGTGGAAACAATGGCTGACTTTATTTTTTGGGGCTCCAAAATCACTGCAGATGTTGACTGCAGCCATGAAATTAAAAGACGCTTACTCCTCGGAAGGAAAGTGATGACCAACCTAGACAGCATATTAAAAAGCAGAGACATTACTTTGCCAACAAAGGTCTGTCTAGTCAAGACTATGGTTTTTCCAGTAGTCATGTATGGATGTGACAGTTGGTCTATAAAGAAAGCTGAGCACCGAAGAATTGATGCTTTTGAACTGTGGTGTTGGAGAAGACTCTTGAGAGTCCCTTGGACTGCAAGGAGATCCAACCAGTCCATCCTAAAGGAGATCAGTCCTGGGTGTTCATTGGAAGGACTGATGCTGAAGCTGAAACTCCAATACTTTGGCCACCTGATGTAAAGAGCTGACTCATTTGAAAAGACCCCTGATGCTGGGAAAGATTGGAGGCAGGAGGAGAAGGGGACAACAGAGGATGAGATGGTTGCATTGCATCACTGAGCCAATGGACATTTGTTTGGGTAAACTCTGAGAGTTGGTGATGAACAGGGAGGGCTGGTGTCCTGCAGTCCATGGGGTTGCAAAGAGTCAGACATGACTGAGCGACTGAACTGAACTGATGGCATCTTAATGAATCCATGAAGATAATTCACCTGAAAGGTCTTCCTCCCTCATTTTCATCTATATTTGAATCAGAGTGATATAATAAATAATGTTTTATTTTAGAAATCTGCATGTCATCATGGTGCAAATGATGAGTAGCTTGTATCATAAGCTGTTGAAACTCATTATGGAAGACACCTCTAAATGTCTACTCAATACTATGGTAAATAAACTATGAGGAGAACCTATGTGTGAGTGTGAGATGATGTATTTAGTGTATTTGTGCTATGAGGTGTCAAAATTATACATTTGTGGCCAAAGAGTCATTCATAGAGGTGTGCTGAGCCTCTAGGAAGGCATCTACTTTGCATAATAGAAGGACAGGCATGGCTGTTTCAACTCTTCTCTATTCCCGCTTCTTCCTGCTTTTAATGTAGACATGACATCTGGAGTTTTAGCAGCCCTCTTGTGATCAGCTGATGCTAAAACTTAACTATAAGAATGGGAAGATAGAAAGTATCTGGTTTCTTTGTGGAATTATTGAGGACCTGACTAAATTATCAACAACTGACTACTTTTAGATTTCATACTATGTGAAAAAAGTAAACCCCTGTGTGTTTAGTCCTGTGATCGCTTTTGCCACTTGGGGCTGAATTCATCGTGACCTTGGTGGTAGAAACCTCTGACACTCACCATGAATCAGTATAATAAGCTGGACAATTTTTGAATGCTCTGATGTTGTTTCCATCATCGTCTTTCATATAGTCATTTCCACATGCTGTAATTTAGAAAGTTTGACTCATATACTTTCTTGTTTAAACTGTGAGATACTAATTAGGATTTTAATAATTAAGTTGTCTTTGTTTAGTTGTAGGGAGAAGCATCGTTTTAGTGTTTTCCATTGAATTATACAAAAGTCTGATTTGAAGTATGGTGCCAAAACTCAACAGGCCCATTTCATTCTGGCTTTTTTGCTATGGATCCTTTTTTTTTCCTTTAAATCTTATAGTTGAGTTACGTGTTGTGTTAGTTTCAGGTATACAGTGATTTACTTATATTTATTCTTTTTCAGATTCTTCTCCCATATAGGTTATTGCAGAATATTGAGTAGAGTACCCTGTGCTCTATAGTAGGTCTCTGTTGATTGTTTTATGTATAGTAGTGTGTTTATGTTAATCCCAAACTCCTAATTTATCCCTCCACCCCACATTTTCCCTTTGGTAACTAGAAGTTTGTTATGATTCTGTTTCTGTATTGTAAATAAATTTATTTGTATCATTTTTTATATTCCATATATAAGCAATAGTATATGATATTGTCCTTCTAGTATATGTATATGTCCTTCTCTGACTTACTTCATTTATGATAATCTCTAGGTCCATCCACATTGCTGGACATGACATTATTTCATTCTCTTTTATGGCTTCATTGTATATGTGTACAACATCTTTATCCATTCCTCTGTTGATGGATATCCTGGTTGCTTCCGTGTTTTGGCTACTGTAAATAGTGCTGCAGTGAACACTGGGGTGCATGCATCTCTTGAGTAAGATTTTCTCCAGATACATTCCCAGGAGTGGGATTGCTGGATCATGTAAATGGGTACAGTCACTATGGAGAACAATATGGGGGTTTCTTAACTGAAATAGAACTATTTTTAGTTTTTAAAGAAACCCCCATATTGTTCGCCATAGTGGTTGTACCCATTTTCATTCCTACCAACAGTGTAGGAGGGTTCCCTTTTCTCCACATCTTCTCCAGCATTTAGTGATTATAGACTTTGATGATGGGTGTTCCACCAGTCGCCCAGTATGAGGTTAAACCTCATTGTAGTTCTGATTTGCATTTCTCTCAATTTGTGATGTTGATCATCTTCCAAAATAATGTTGAATAAAAGTGGACGTCCTTGTCTTGTTCCTGATCTTAGGGGAAATGCTTTCAGTTTTTCACAGTTGAGAGTGATGGTAGCTCTGGGTTTGTATATATGGCCTTTATTGTGCTGAGGAAGCGTCCTCCTATGATGACTTTCTGGGCAGTTTTCATCATAAATTCATATTGATTTCTGTCAAAACCTCTTTCTGTATCTATTGAGATGGTCATTTAGTTTTTTCCTTCAGTCTGTTGCTGTGGTATATCATACTGATTGATTGGCAGATATTGAGGAATGCTTGCACCTGCTCCTGGGTTTCCTGACAGCATTGGGAGCCAGAGCACCCCCAGGGCAGCAGGGGCAGTCATTGGCGACTGCTTGTGGGTGGCCTAGTGGCAGTGGTCGCTTGTGCCCGTCACTGGAGCTCACGTAGGTGGTGTCTCGTTACCTAAGAGTGTGCACAGGGAAAGAAGCTCGCGTGGCGGCCCCGCCCATCTCCTCCTGTATTTCCCGAACATTGGCACCTTGCCTCTCTGGCATCCCCAAGCTTCTTCCAAGTGCACCCTTGGTTGCCACTCGGGCAGGGTGTCTCTGCACAGCCGATCCTGTCCTCCACCTGAGTCTGACCTCTGTATCCCAAGCTTCAGCACCCAGCCCCTGTCCATAGTGACAGAGAAGCATCTCAGACTGGGGAGCACAGGGCAGGCTTACTGGTCTGTCTGTGCCGGTTACTGTTCATCTTGCCTGACTCAGGCTGGCTGCTGCCCTCTCCTCCCTGGCTCCACAGCTTCCTCTCCATCCCGGCTGATCTTCCTACTGTAGAAGGGACTTTCCCGGGTGCAGAAGCTTTCCTCCTTCTTAGCTTCCTCCCTGGGGTGCTAAATGGGCTTCCCATTTAAACTCTGTTTTTCCTTTATTCTTTTGTCCTATAGAGTTATGGGAGGGGTTCTTGCCCTTTCAGAAGTCTGAGGTCTTTTGCCAGCATTCAGTAGATATTCTTGTGAATCGTTATACTTATAGATGTATTTCTGATGTATTTGTGGGGGTAGGTGAGCAGACATCTTGATCCTGAGGATTTTTCTATGGATTCTTGATGCATTCAGCTGTAGTAATCATCATCATGTTGTGCTGAACAGAATCATTTTTGCTTCCTCAATTCACTGTAAAATGCTAGATAGACAGCTCACTCATGTGCTTCACCTTGACCCTTTTAGACAACTTGTCTACCAAGGAGCAGCAGTCTCTTAACTGCGCTTTGTTATAAGTTCCCAAGAACTTCAAATTAAACCTCTGAAAGTGGCTGTGGCAGCAAGACTCACAGACAAGCAGCCTTTACATTTTCTGCCTTGCACTGCGACCTTTCGTTGCTTACAGAAAACACAAGCATCCTTGTTATAGTCTGATAAGTCTCTGATAATTAATTGGACCATCACACACAAAACAGGTGTCCTAAAATTTTAATCAAGTATAAATTTTGTTTAAATAATACATTTTTTACCTGATCCAAAGGGCATCTTCAGATAGCCAAAGCAAAGTTGTTAACAAACATGCTTATCTATGTGCTTAAAATTGTATTAAACCACCAAAAGTCATAGAAAACATGATAGACAAGAAACATTTGAAGAAGAAATTCAGGATAAGCACCATTAGGAAACCATCATAACTGTTGAGTGATTATTTTATATGATTGAGTTAACAATGAAATGCAGTCCTCATTTTTCATATATGGTAATAGGAAGTAGGTCTGAAACATGTGGCTGCCCTCATTGACTCTAGGCCAATTAAAGATGTTGCCCTACTTATTAAATTCTTCAGTGCTTTCTTACAATACTTGGAATAATAGCATAGTTATTATATGTTAAAGACGTAAATTAGGTCTTGATTAGTATGCCTGTCAATTTACTAAGACATTGTTATTGGCAGTGAGCCATAATCTACCTGGATAGTTTACACAATATCCCCCCCAAATATGAAGCTGATAAAAAAGGGAGTTTACCTGATTTCCTCCCATACCATGACAGTTGAAAATACCCACTTTTTCATTTTCCTTGCGGCCCATGTTGTCTAAACATTGATTTGTTTCAACATTTCTTATCTAAAGGAAACACAAAAATGTAAGTCAGAAAATCTTTGGTATTTTCAAATTGCTTATTGATAGCAAAATAATATTTTTGTAAGGAAATTTCTCCAAGGAAAAGACAAAGCTTAAAATATTTATTTTTCTATGTCTATTCTGATTTCTGTATAACGTTCTAAACTCCCATTCAGGTAAACTTGAATAGCACTGGCATTGTCATTAGCATCCAGTCAAGAGGCACTCTTTGTTTATAGTGTAGTACCAGAGAAGAAGAAAACATCTACATATTACAAACTTGGAGTTCTTCCCCAAATCTTCTGAAAATTAGGACAGTCTCAAAATTCCACCCAAATAATCATAGTGTTTTTGTGAAGTTCTGAAGTCCTGCAGTGCCATATGCAAAGTAATAGAAACAAATTGGTCAAATATGCAAACTTATGTATTTTTTGTTGCTACTTTACTAGATGCTCCATTCTGTACATTTATAAAGACTAATTACACTGGTAATTTTTTAACTAAAACTTGCATCTTTTTGCATTCTTAATACCAGACAGTGGAAAGCAGTTGACCCTAAGAAAAACTATTACAAGGCTAAATGGTGATTTCACATGAAGAATTTTTCAAAACCAAGATTAAATTGCCAGCTGCAAACATAAGATTCATGGTTTACACTCAGACACTGCATTAGTCCCATAATTAACATGTTACATACATTTGTGCCAAATGTAATTTTACAGAAGCCATTTATTGAGTTTAAAGATGTCCAGATTACTAAGTCAAATACAAGTGAATGTAAAAAAGAAGAAAACCTTTTCTAATAGATGGAATGTTTTAGTTTTTTTCCTTTAGTCTCAACCCAAAGTAGTATGCTTTACACTTGTCCACTCAGCTTCCAAAAAGTTCTTTGACTCTTATTAGGGTACATATTTTACTGTTCACTCACTCATTACTTGGATATGTTTAGTTACCTATACTTCAGGTGCTTGTTTCTCCCTCTTGGCAAATGAGTATGGTTAGAAACTTCTGTAGAGGCTGGATTAGGTTTCCACAGTTCAACTTTTTTGTATGGTACAGAACCCCATGGTCAGGTAATGGTTGCCTGAGTTGGGAAAATGGTGTGATTTGCAGTAAAGTCCCAGTCAGCAATTGAAATTCACACTTGGTAAGGGGTTGGGCAGAGCTGAGCAGTGAGGTCAAGCCCTGTCCCAGTGATTAGAGGGAGGCAAGAGTGGAAGCAGAGGAACAAATAAGGGGACTGTTGAGTCATGCCAACTAGATATGGTTACTTGGCATAAAAGGACAACAGTGGATGTGGGGAGGTCAAGTTTAGGTTGTTTTTAAGATATAACCAGTAGGACTTACAGTTGAAGTGGAAATGACCCAGGAGAGGAAAACAAAGGCATCAAGAAGCATTACAAGATTTTGGTTTGAGCAGATCAGTAGATGATGTTTCCATTTACTGGGAGCAATATTCTGAGTTCTTGCATGTTGATAACTGTATCTGTGGCCTTTATACTTCAAAATCAATTTGCTGCATCTGAAGTCCTTGATTCACAGTGTATTTCCTTGACTATATTTAAGATGTTACTCTGTTCACTTCCAGCATAAATAGTTGCTTTTGAAAAGGTAACAATGAAAATGTTTTCTTTCCCTTGTTCTTACAAATATATATTTGCCTGAATGCCAAAATAAGTCCAGTAGATTGACCAGATAGGTGGTGGTCTGTTTCAATATGTAGTTCCAAATTTATTTTCAAGGAGTAAATATTGAATAATATTGAATTATAGATAATTGAATTATTAGTGTTCATTTTTTACTATTTTGATATTGCTATCAGGAAATTCTGTATTTTGTATCTTTTATATATCTCTCATATATGTCATTTTCTATTCGATAGAAAAGAAAGACAAAACTATCTTTAAAAAATTTCCTCCTTCCCTCATTTTAAAACTCTTATGGCATTTTCTTTTGGGATTGTTGACTCCTCTGTTCTTTCAAGTTTATCCATTTCTGAAATGATTGATTCCTTAATTTCTAATTCTTTCCTCCATTTCAGGCCCTCATTTCAGAAGTTTTTTTTAAAATTTATGTTGTTGTTTTACTTATTTTATCATAATAAAATATCTCTTGTTTTGAACTATTAGTTGACAGTTTTCCTATCTTATGAGTTTAAGGTTTTGATTTGGTTTCATTTTTCATAGAGATATCATTTTACTGTTTATTATCTTTATTCTTATGGTAGTGATCCTTTTCCTTTCTTTTCAGAAAAAAAAATTCTCCTGATTTGTTAAGAGGGAGAATTTGATCAGGAAATAATTTTTCTCCCTCCCTCCCTCCCTCTCTCTTCCTTTCATTTTTTCTTTTCTTTGCTTCCTGATGGGAGTAATGACTTGTCTTCTTTAAACTAGTCTGATACCCAGACTATTCTTGTTTAATTGGAGAAGGGCACAAAGTGTGCATCGGGTTCTTTAAAATCTCCCCAGGTGATTCTAACGTGCAAAGTTTGGCAACCACCATTCTGGAGGAAGGTATGACATGTCTTGATATTTAATGGTGACAGTACAGTTACTTTTCCTTTTTTGAGTAACTTATTTTTCAGTGGTTTCCACCTGGGCTGCCCCACAGACTCACCTGGAAAGCTTTTAGAATATACTTCTACTTTGCTTCTGCTTCATAGATTCTGATTCAAATGGTCTGGAGTAGGACCAGGTCTGAAGTAGGACCAGAATACAGTTAAAAGATCCCCCAGATAATTCCAGTGTATAATCAGGACTGAAACTCCTTGTATCAGGAGAGCACAATGGAGCTTCCTAGCTGGAAGCCTGATTATTTTGTGAATCATTTTGAGAACTCTGGATGCTGGTGGAAAGTAAAGGACATTTTCATAGCAAAGCTGATTTTGCCACTACCAAGTAAAATGTTTAAGAATAAATATTTCCAGCTGTACCTGACAGGACATGTTTACACTGGAGACCGTTTCTAACTTCACAAGGATAGCTCTGTTCCTGTAATTTTTTGGAGAGTTGGAAAAAAATCCTGCTTTTTTTGAGAATTCCTGGTTCTGCTTAGCTCTTCACTTTTTTTTTTCTTTTCCAAGTTTTTATTGGTATAGAGTTGATCTACAATGTTGTGATTCAGGTATACAGCAAAATAATTCAGAATTTTTCAGATTATTTTCCCATATACGGTATTACAGAGCATTGACTGTGTAGGTCCTTGCTGATTATCTATTTTATATATAGCAGTGTATATGTTTGAGCAAACTCATAATTTGTGACCCCCACTTTTCCACTTCAGTAACCATAAGTTTGTTTTCAAAGCCTGAGATACTGTTTCTGTTTTGTAAGTAAGTTTATTTATATAACTTAGATTCCACATGTAAGTGATATCATATAATATTTATCTTTGTCTGACCGTATCAAAATATTTTTCTGTTTATGGATGAGTAATATTCCACTGGGTGTATGTGTGTGTGTATATATACATATCACATCTTTTTATTCTGTGGGAGAACCTCTGCGATATAATTATTTTCCAGTTTGTGTGCCACCCATCAAGTCAGTATGGGATTTGATTGTTTCGTGAATGCACTCCTCCTGCTGCCTCCTTGTGGCTTTGTCTTTGGATGTAGAATCTGTTTTGGTACATTCCAGTCTTTTTGTCAATGATCGTTTAGCACTTAGTTGTGATTTTGGTGTATTTGTAAGAGGAGGTCAGTTCAGGTCCTTTTCCTCTGCCTTTTGTCTCCGCCTAGCCCCTTGACCCGATCCCTCCTCTCTCTCCTGTTTCTGTCCGGACTTTGGTTCCTTTGTTGTTGTTGTACCTGCCTACTTAAGTTGGGCTTCATTCCTTGAATTTTTTCCTGAGAAAGAGCTTCAGCTATTGAGCTGTAAAAGTTCACAGGTTGTAGAATTCTTTGACCCTTCAGACATTTAAAGAGGAGACTTTTCACTGACTTGCAAACTGGATTTTATGAAAACACTTTTCCCAGTTTCAATTACTATCGTTAAGTTAGCATGAAACAGTTTCTCATGAGTATCTATTGGTAACTGAGGTGTTATTGTGGTCTCATTTCCATCAGACACCCCATTTCTTCCCTTTTTTCCCACTGTAATGATTGTATTATCATGTGGTCATGAAGTTTACAAGTCATATTTTAGGATTGGTGAGAATACCTTGTCTTCTAATTTTACTGTTAAATTTGTCCATCAGTTTTTGTTTTTGCTAACCTGGATGCTCTCTCTGCTTCAATCGAGGAATTCAAAAAGATTGAAACTGTGTCACTGCTGCTGCTATTTTTTCAGAATTATAGAATAGATTCATTTGGGGAAGTGCATGGAAAGGAGTTTGTTCTATTCATGACATGTTCTAACCTTCCTAAAAATTGGTTTGACAGTTTCTAGACATGTAATATTAATTTTCCCTTAGAATGTAGCAGGCACTAAGAGGTTATAGTATAGGAACTCAAGTCAAATCTGGTGAGGCTAACTGGACATGAGTTCTGGGAGACTGGAAACAGATAGGAGTCAGTGGCTTCAGTAAGCTGTCAGAATGAGACAGGGAAGACAACCACCACAATAAAATTGAATAATTGAAGTTGTATGTGCCATGAACTGTTCCAAGGACTTATGTGTAATAACCAACCTATTGCCCTAATTTTATATATGAAAACATTAAGATACAAACAGGCTAAGTAGTCTGCTCAAATAAGTAGTTGGAAATTGCCTAGTCCTGACATCTAGACAGGTAGGCAGTATTTTGCAGAAAGGAGGTGAAAAGAGCAAGGGAGGAATAAGTTCCAGTTGAATAAAGGCGAAGGTAAATGACAGGTCATCCAGACAGTGGCAAAGACACATGGACCATGGAAATGGCCTAGGATCAGACCTGAGAACCAGGTCAAAAGGTCTAGAAGTAAAGTGGTTTCCATGCTGAATGCCAAAATGTTGGGTTCAGGTCATGAAAATTATTTCTGGCTATTGTTAAGATGACACTGGATACAAATATGATAGAGGATGAAGCGTCAGGGAACAGGGTTCTCAATATCTACTTAAAAAAAATTGAGAAGAACATACCGTCTGGATTGAGACAATGTCTGAGAGGTTTTTGCAGTAGTCCTATGTTATCTACATTTTTTTTTTTTTTAACATATGAACACCTAGAAGGCAGCATGGTGTGCATCAGGGTATTCTCAAGTAAATGAGTCTAACATTGGAAATCTGTAATATTTTCCTCAAACATAAAAATGGTTACTAGTGTCTTCTGACAGTCCTCAATGATCTAATCTTAATGTATAATAGAAGATATTGGCATACAGGAAAAAAATATATGTATATATTCCCAAAGAATGCTGTTTAAACAAAAAAATGAAATATCAGGAAATATCCTGAGCTTGTCACTGGTATTACAACACCAATTGCTTGATCATGCCATTCACTAATCGTAAGAAAAATTTAGGCAGACAAACATGGATGAACTTCATCCACAGAAACTCCTTAAAGAATCCAACCTGAATCAACATAAGTAGAGCATATGGGTATATCTGCATTCTGGGAAAGTCTTGTGACTCATCCCTTATGTTATTTTATAGCTTTGAGTATGTGGTGTAGGACCAATATAGTTTTAACTTTGTTGTCTACTTTGACATTTCTTTGTTTACACAGCATCTTTTATTGCCTGAGAATAGTCTTTAATGACATAAACTTGGGAGTATTTTTTCCACTTGTTACTTGATGTTAGAAATCAAGTCTTTTTCTAAAAGTTTCTACTCATTGGCAGGATCATGGGTAATGTTACCACTTACATGGTTTATTCACTAGCTTTTGCTCCCTCTGCTGGATTGTAACGGCAAGCAACAGTGGGAACTCCAATTCGAAAAGAGGCATAAACTCTCATCCCCACCACCTTTGAATTTCAAAACTAATATGTAAAATTCATTCTAAAATTAGACTAAACTTAGCTTTTTTGGGGCTTTAATTACTCCAACACATGCTTATCCTTCAACTGTATATTATGTTACTAATTATCATTATTTTAAATATGTCAACCTCATTTGGTTTCTCTTTACTTTGTAAAGAAGGAAATACATTTGCAGTGAATTCAAGTTTAATGTTAATATTTCCATATTATAATTGCTGTAGTGAATATGCATTTCTCTGTACCAAATTGTGAATAAATCAGAAGGATGGTTTTATATAGATTTGCAAAATCTATATAATTAACAATCCAAGCTGACTTCTCTTATGTAAACCTGGGTTTCCAATGACCTGACTGTGAGATTTAAAAACACTGAGTATGTGATATCTTAACGTCCTTCAACAAAACAGTAAATACAGAATACTGGACAATTTCACATATTTTGGTGGATAACAAAATCAATCCTAGGAGAATTCATAAATGCTCTAACTGGAATATAGTTTGTTGTAATTGTCTATGCCGTTACATATTTAAGTGATAAAATCAGAATTGGTTCTAATGTATTTATCAGTATTGTAAAGCCAAAAAAAAAAAAAAGACTTTCCAGTAGTAACCTCACTTATTTCGTCCATGGGTGAGTTACCCAGCTCAACATTCTTTAGGGTTAACGTGTGATGGAGAGTAATATATTTTGCCTGTGTATTAGTTACACTGGGATAAAAATCAGTTACTGGGTCCCAAAGAGTTTTGCGAATATGATCATGGGCAGAGAGAATGCCCCATTTGTGCATGTTTTAAAATATGAGGTTTTTTTTTTTTTTACTGGTTATTAAAAGATCAAGAAGATGGTGAATTTATAAATAGGTCTGATTACCAACAGACATGTAACACTCTCAGGGTTTTAGCCTCTGGATTTGGCAGTAACTGATTTTATCCTTAATCCCTGCAGCCTAGCAGCTTCAACAGATGTCTATTTTTAGTTACTGAAATTTGTTCTTTAACAGTGTTTAAGGAATACAGTGTCAATGTGTGCAAGGATCTTAACTAGATGATAAGGTTAAAGAATACAAGAGAAAAAGGAAGTGCTAAGGGGTCATGTAGACAGTAAAAAATTCAGACACGACTGTCAAAAGGTCTTCCAAGCAGCATGCAAATGCAGATATTAAGCCCTAAGAGTTAAGTCAATTGGCTCCAGAGTTCCTCTTCTCTTCCCTCTTCTATATTCTTGTGTTCCACATAGCTCACAAAACATTTTTTTCCCAAGATGCTGGCCTGTCCAAGGCCAAAAATTTATGGTAAAGCATTACTACTTTAGAAAGCCAATTTTCAATCTTATAGTTGAATTAACTTCTATATTTACAAGATCAGGAGCTGACATACTAAATATACATAAGCTAGTGTTCGTCAAGAGAGAATTTAATGCTGCAAGAAGCTCTTCTTCCTTATTCCATTATGATCTGCTTACTAAGTCTAAAAGGCATATGCTTCATTAAGCTACTTAAAGGTTTTAGTTCAAAGCAATTCAGCTTTTAACTTCCCATTGGAAATTGCATGTAATTCATGGGCTGGGTGAAGTAATATTTCAATTACCAGCATAAAATTCAAATGTGAGAAATTACGACAGTTGTCTGATATCAATACTGATGATTATTTTGGTGACAATATACAGTGATGTTCTTTAACAGTGTTTAAGGAATACAGTGTCAATGTGTGCAAGGATCTTAACTAGATGATAAGGTTAAAGAATACAAGAGAAAAAGGAAGTGCTAAGGGGTCATGTAGACAGTAAAAAATTCAGACACGACTGTCAAAAAGGTCTTCCAAGCAGCATGCAAATGCAGATATTAAGCCCTAAGAGTTAAGTCAATTGGCTCCAGAGTTCCTCTTTTCTTCCCTCTTACCTTCTGTATTCTTGTGTTCCACATAGCTCACAAAACATTTTTTTCCCAAGATGCTGGCCTGTCCAAGGCCAAAAATTTACGGTAAAGCATTACTACTTTAGAAAGCCAATTTTCAATCTTATAGTTGAATTAGCTTCTATATTTACAAGATCAGGAGCTGACATACTAAATATACATAAGCTAGTGTTCGTCAAGAGAGAATTTAATGCTGCAAGAAGCTCTTCTTCCTTATTCCATTATGATCTGCTTACTAAGTCTAAAAGGCATATGCTTCATTAAGCTACTTAAAGGTTTTAGTTCAAAGCAATTCAGCTTTTAACTTCCCATTGGAAATTGCATGTAATTCATGGGCTGGGTGAAGTAATATTTCAATTACCAGCATAAAATTCAAATGTGAGAAATTACGACAGTTGTCTGATATCAATACTGATGATTATTTTGGTGACAATATACAGTGATAGAAGCTGAATATCATGTTTACCTCTATCTTCTAATATAACTAGGAAAGTTATAAAGAGAAATTGATGTGAAGGTATTTATATTCACCAGTGTGCTGCAATATTAAATATCTGGGCTTTGATAAACATTGAAACTTAAAGAACTTGTAAATTGTTAGATCCTAACAATTTCATTTGAAATTGAGTACATATGAATTACTTCAAAGAAATAACTTTGTGCCCTAGATAAGTAGCTTTGGATACCTGGTTCCCCTTTGAGACTATCTGAGAGACAGTGCCTTCATATATAATGACAGATAGTAAGAAAGAAAAAAAGATTTAAATGACTGTCCATTATAGTCCATTAATAGTTTATCTCAAATTCACTATCAAAGTGTCTATGACTATGTCTGTGACTACACATGTCTATGCAAAATTGAATTGGAAAACAGTGCTTGGTGAATTTGTCCTTGTTTTCAAGGAAACTGTTGCAGGACTGCATCTCTTGAAGGGTAGTTTTAAAATGGAAAACTGTAGTACATTAATATACCAGAAAGTTCAAAATCAGATATATCTCGTAGATTTTTTAATTTATTGAGTTTTTAAAATACCTGCTAGGACAGTTTTAATTCAACTGAATTTCTTACCTGTTTGATTATCTCTTGCTTTTTCCCTCACTTCCATTTCAGTAGAATGGCTCAAGAGTAAAGTTCTTTCCTTATTGACTTTACATCCTTAGCATATAACACAGGTTACAGCTTAAGCTCTTATTTAATAAAAGTATTTTGAATGAATAACATGTAGTGATATCCATTTTCTCCTTCTAGTTAGAAGGAAAAGTGGACATTATTGTTAGACTAAAATATATTTGAATCCTGACTTCAATATTTAGCTAGTTCTATGACCATTAGGTCAATCATGTGAATTTTCTACATAGAGATTTCCATATTTAATTGGGGATAGTAACAAAACCTGCCAAGAAATTGTGATTTGTTTAAAAAAAATACAATTTTTAAGCATCTAGCATAATGTTTGACATAGTAAGAAAACAGTAGTAGCTATAATAATTATAATAACTGTAACTACTGGTGTTATAGATGCTCTGTATCCTTAATCATCACTGTAACCTATAGGATTACTTTCCTTCTACTGCTGGGTACCACAGACAGACCTAGTGCTACTTCAGTCCTAAAGTGGGAGGTCAGGATTTAAACCCTCCTCTGCTTGATTCCAAAGTCTGGGATTCTTTCAGTACACCATGTTCCCTCTCCTGGATATGTTTCAAAAACCCTAAAGGTATATTTCTATTTTCAAAAGTTTTTCAGATTACTTCTAGAAATTAAAACATAGCTACCTGACCCATTAAAGAAGGTAGCTACTTTAAAATCAGTAGGTTGTATAAAGGAATTTTCTCACACTTCATTTTTTCAGAAAGTCAGTCAGTTAGATTTCTCAATGTGTAGTGCAGGAGAGTATGAAACTGAATTTTTAAAATGGAAGTGACATCTAGGTTCTGTTTCAGAGTCCTGAGTCTTTCTCAGGAGTCACCTTGATGGCCTTAGATAATTTCCAAAAACTCCTCTTAACTCATATCTGTCTTGTTAACAGGTCTTGGTCATATGTTCTTTTAGAAAAAGTGATCAGCATTTACTCACTACCTGGGTCCACTGACTGCCATGGGAAGAATACACTGCTACAAGAATAGAAAAACTCCCTCTTCTAAAGGTACAGATTCACAATTGGCTCAACCAACTTTTCCATAAAAGAAATGTGTGTTAGATACTTTATTGGAGATCTTTAGTAGAACTAGATTATAATAACTAGCATGCACATAGAGCTCTAGTTTAAAAAATGCTATTCTATGTGTTAAATATAAATAAATCCTGTGACATTAGAGCTAAAATGGGAATACTGCCTATTTAAAAACAATAGTGATGACACTCCCATCCCAATGAAAACAACTAATTAAAAAAGAAAGCCAAAGTTACACCTAGAAAGTGGTAACATTCAGTGTTATTACACATGAACCTTTGCACTACAGAATTCAGATTAATGTTAAATAGATATAAACTGAAAAATTCTATAGAGAGATATTTACCTGATTGATGAGTGAGTGGAGATTTGACAGTGTATGGATAATGCACAAAGAAACAGTCTTTAAAAACAATTCAGCTGGAAATGAATTATATGCTTTTCTTTATTTTCTAGTGATGTTTATAGAGTGGATAAATTCATAGATATCTTGGCAAATGAACCAAAAAATATTAGAGTGAATTTTCAGATATTCCACTGTTATGACCTATAAAAATGACAGATTCAAATAATATTTCCCAAATGCATTATTATTGCTGTTAAAATGTTTTAAAAATAACAAGTACTAAATTAGTTTTCTTAAATGTAATTCCTATTAAGTGGGAAATTACCAATATGAAGCATATAATTCATAAAGGGATAACTCTTATTTTGAGCAATTAATATGTATTATGACCATATGCTTGTACAGTTACAATGAAGCCAACTTTTTAATCTCTAAAGATATTTTATAACTATGGTACCCAAAGCAATCTATAGATTCAAGCAATTGCTATGAAATTACCAATGGTAATTTTCAACAGAGCAAATAATTTTATAATTTGTATAGAACACAAAAGACCCTGAATACCTGAAGCAATCTTGAGAAAGCAAAAATGAAGCTGGATGAATCAAACTGCCTGATTTCAGACTAGAGTACAAAGCTACACTCATTGAGACAGTATGGTATTGGTACAAAAACAGAAATATAGACCAATGGAACAAGATAGAAATCCCTGAGACAAACCCACACACCTGTGGTCCCCTAATCTACAACAAAGGAGGCAGGAATATACAATGGATAAAACTGAATAAGTGGTGCTGGGAAAACTGGACAGCTAAGTGTTAAAACAAGAAAAAAAAAGAACACTCTCTAACAAGGTACACAAAAATAAACTCCACTTTCTAGAGTAATGAAAATTAAAACAACCAAATGGGGTCTAAAAGCTTTTGCACAGCAAAGGAAACCATAAACAAAATTAAAAGACAACCCAGAGAATGGGAGAAAATATTTACAAATGAAGTGACTGAAAAGGAGTTAATCTCTAAAATACACAGTTTATGCAGCTCAATATCCAAAAACCAAACAAAACAATCAGAAAATGGGCAGAAGATCTAAATGTACATTTCTTTAAAGAAGACATACAAATGGCCAAAAAGCACATAAAAAGATGCTCAACATCACCAGTTATTGGAGAAATGCAAATCAAATGTATAATGAGACACATCTTACACTGGTCAGAATGGTCATCCTAAAAAAAATCTACAAACAATAAATGCTAGAGAGAAGGGAACCCTCCTACACTGTTGGTGGGAATATAAATTAGTGCAGCCACTATGGACAACAGTATGGAGATTCCCTAAGAAAAACTACAAATAGAGCTTCCATATTATCCAGCAATCCCACTCCTGGGCATATATCTAGAGAAAACTCTTGATTTAAAAAGATATATGCACCCCAGTGTTTAACGAGGCAATACTTACAGTAGCCAGGACATGGAAGCAACTTAAATGTTCATCAACAGAATAATGGATAAAGAAGATGTGGTACATATGTATGATGAAATATGACTCAGCCATAAAAAAGAATGAAATAATTCCATTTGCAGCAACATGAATGGGCCTAGAAATTGTTGTACTGAGTGAAGTGAGAACAAAAAATAAATAGTGCTTTGATGTGGAATCTAAAAAATAAAGTACAAATGAACTTATTTACAAAACAAATATATTTGATATACAAACAAACTTAGGGTTACCAGGGTGCTGGGAAGGGGAGCATAAATTGGCATATTGGGATTGATACATATACAATATAAAATAGATAACTAATAAGGACGTACTGTATATAGCACAGGGTACTCGACTCAATGCTCTGTAGTAGCTTATTATGGGAAAAGAATCTAAGGAATAGAGATATGTATATATATAAATGAATCACTCAGTTTGTAGTACATCTGACACTAACACAACATTATAAATGAGCTATACTCGAATAAAAATTTAAAAAGTCACAGAGGAAGAGAAAAATAAAAACAAAAGTGCATTGTTTTCTTCTGAATATAATAAAGTTAGGGCAGATTTGTCCTCTGAATTGTACATGGTTATTAGAAAAAGTAGATTTCCGGATGAGTGAGAGTGAAAACTTTCTAAGAAGTGACAATGTTTATTAAAAAATAAAGATAATATTTTGAAAAAGTATGAAACAGATCAGGGGTTCTCCATGTGTCCACAAAGTCATCATGATTTTGATAACAGTATTATGATAATATCTTTCACCCTCCCTTCTCATGAATGTTTAGGGAATCTTCACTTGGTTACATGGTGTGCTATATTATAATAGATTGAATATCAAAGCAGATAGAAGAATCCAACTAACTCTTTTTGGCCAGTTTTTGATGCAATTTATAAAAAATGTAGATTAAGCTAATCCTCTTACTATTTTATTTTGCTTTATAAAGTTTACTCTTCCAAAAATATGTTACTATATTACTGTGTAAGGGATTATTACATATTATCTTTACTAAATAAATTTAAAGTTTCTGGTTTGTTTTCCCACAGTAAGTATTAACACTTATAGCCCACATAAAGAAAAACTCAAAATTTTCTGTAAACCTCAAAGACTCTAAATTCCGTATGATTAAAAAGTTTTAGAGCTATTTATAACGAAATAAAAAATACTTATTTATTCTACCTTAAACTGTGTTTTTATTTTTTATAAATCCCAGTGACATAGACCTTTATGGTCCTTGTAATTTTATTAGAAGTCTTTTAAAATAGATCTGTTTAAAAACCTTTAAAGCATTGTATTCATAACATAAAAAATACTGAGCTCCTTAGAAATTGCCCCTTTTGCAAAATATATTTATAACTTAACCAAAATAAATAATTCATACCTCTCCAAGTGAGTAATAACGTCTTGGGATCTGGGAGTCCGGATAGATGTTTTCAAGGTACCAAGAAAAGGGCTTACACTTCAGATTTTCTCTTAGTGTTTTTCTGACTGACACGTCTCCGTAATCCACTTTGACAACACCTGGAATTTTTCAGAGAAACATTGAAATCTGTTTATGCTGTTTTCATTTTAGCACTGTTTCACTCTGTTTGCTATCAGTTTTTTCTCTATAATTAAATTTCATCAAATTGAATTGCATGTGCAGCTGCTACTACACTGATTTCTTGCTAACATCCAATTAGTACATTAAATGGATATAAAAAGTTTTTCCATTGGTTATGACTTAAAATGCAAAAGTTTATCACCAAGTACTTGTACTTCTTAAATTGAATAATTAATCAAGTAAGTATAAGTTAGTATTAATTTAGCATCTCATATTGAAAGCTTAATTGAGCTGTGTGATAATGTGGTTTCTTTTTAATGAAAGTTTCAGTGGCTTCACTATTTTTATTCCTCATATTTTTCCTTTAGTGTCATTAATTCACTACTTGTGCATTTCATGAGAATATACATAAATATGACCCTCACAATGGATGACACATTTGTGTTCTGTTTTCCTTCTTGAATTTTTATTTTATCTAGGTTTAGGACCTAACTTTTTCTTTACTAATTTTTCCCTGTTTTAAAAGTTAGTGTAAACCACTTCAAATCCTTAAGTTAGTAAATAAATAAGCATAAAGAAACCACAAGCAAATGAAATATACTCACATGTGTATTATTAAAATTGCTTAACTGTACTTCATTTAATAGCAGGATATATGAATTTAAAATGAATTTTCCATTGAGGATCTTAATAGAATGAGTTTTAGTTGAGAAATAGAAATAACACCATTAATTTTATATAAAAGATGGTGACATGAATTGCTCATTACTAATATTAAAATGACATTTAATTGAAATGGCTAAAGAACTGTTATAAGATGACAATTAATTTTTAGATTTTGAAAAGATCTCTGTTTAAGAGCAGTAAGCAACCACACTTTGGCACAGGAAAAAAATGGCCCAGTCTTTATATGCTATCCCAACCAAACAGCAAAGTCTATTAGTCATGTGTAATAAAAGAACAATTGTTTAAAGACAGTCTAAATGTCTGTAACTAATACCATTATTTATGTTGCTATTTTGAAATAAGGCCAAACTCTTGAGGCTTACCACCTGCCAGTCCTTCCCACTCCTCACCACCCGTTTGGTTTTTTTTCAGAATTTTGTGTTTTCCCAAAGTGCTTAAGCAGCCAAACCTTTTCCTTCTACAACAAAATACTGATTTTTCTAGCTAGTATTTAGATGAAAATAAAAAGATATTTGGGCTTTGTAGACAAATACTTCCTTTCAAAATAATTGTATCCAGAACCTACAATCTGGATGTGGCCTTCAAAAGAAGTTCAATAACATTTACAAAATAGATTACTAAAAGAATTTGTTTAGTGGTACACAAATAGATGGCTTTGAAAATCTTATTTAAAAAAGAGAAATTCTATTGGACTCAGCAAAAAAGGCAATGCTGCTTCAAAGGATTTAATTCAGCAGTTTTGCATCTTAAATTTGACATTCCAAAAAGGTCCTCTTGATTTTCCATATGACCCATCTTCAAGATTCTCTATTTCAGTAACTAGCACAAGTGTCCACCCATTTTCTCAAGGCAAAAACATAGGAGTATTTCTTTTATCTCACACACACATTCAATTCATTAACAATCCACAATATGGATCTTTCTATATATAGTGGGGTTACATTCTGAGAAATCCATCATAAGTTAAAAAAATGCATTCAATAGACCTAACCTACCAAACGTTGCAACTGATCCAAGCCTACATCAGATGTGCTCAGAACACTTGCATTAACCCACAATTATTAGCCTACACTTGGAAAAAATCATCTAATGTTAATCCAATTTAAAAAAAAATTGTTGAATATCTCACATACTTTATTGAATATTATACTGAAAGTGAAAAACAGGGTGACCGAATGGATAGAGAATGGTTTTAAGTGTATTGGTTGTTTTCACCCTGCTGATCACATGGCTGACTGGGTGCTGGGGCGGCCCAGCTTCTCCGAGAGAGTATTATGCTGTATGTTGCTAGCCTGGAAAAATACCAAATTCTAAAGTTTCACTGAATACACATTACTTTCACACCATAATAAAGTTGAAAACTTTAGTCAAATCATCATGAGTCAAGGACTGTCCATAGATTCCAAGCTCCTCTATCATCCCCTTTACCATCCTGGCCTGTCTCTCTCTCATCTCTTGCCTAAGACTAAGCATGCCATCACCTCCTAACTAGTCTCCCTGACATCTTACATTTCTCCATTTAGCCTTTATTTACTGTTGCCTGCTCCCTAGACAGTATATTTGAAATATAAAATCATGTGTTCCCTTGCTCCAAAGCTTCCAACAATTTTCCATTTTGCTAGAAATAATTGACAATAACCTTAATCATTGCCTGAGTTTCTTTATGAAATGACCCTTGGTTATCTCTCTGACTTAATCACCTGTATTCACTTCATTGTAGCAAAACTGGCTCTCCCACTCTTTCTTGCTTTCTTTCTCTTTCTCCAAACCTCTAATCAAAATTTACTTCCTCATGCTCACCCTGACTTTCCTCTCTAAACTGATCACCTTTCCCATCATCTTGGTAATGCTCTATCCCTCCATTCTTCTTTATTCTCCAGTATACTTGTTAGTACTTGATATCCTATCACAGGTTAATTCTCTTTGCCTTTCCAGTAAGAACTTTGGACAAATAATTTAATCTCTTGATTCCTAAGGTATCTTGTGTGTGGTATATGATAATTATTGAATACATATTACACATTGTAATGGATACCTACTGCTTTTGACTGCCTGGCATCCATTTTGCATGTTGGTAAGAGCATTCAAGTTTTCTTTGGGCAGTCGTCACATCCTCGCTTCAACTTTGTGTGACTTGCTGACCTCATCCCCCTTCCTGTCTTTCCAGCTCCAACTAGCATCACAGAATAAAGGCATACCACTGGTGAATCTTGTTAAAAATTCACATTCTGATTCAGGTGGTCTATACTGAGGCCTGAGAGTCTACGTACTTAACAAGCTCCCAGGGGATGCTGCTGTTCCTTAGGCCAAACTCTGAGTAGCCCCCAAGACAATCAAAGCAGCCCATTCATCATTTACTTACAACCTACCATAATGATTGGCTTAGGACTGAACATGTGATAAAAGTATAAATAAATAAAATTATGCTCTGACAACTTTCTAGGACTATTAGAAAGTAGAATTTCTCTTTTCTTTGGAATTCCTAGCTGTAAAGATGACTAAAGCCTGGAGCTTCTGAGCCTACCATATAGAGAATGCCTTCTAAGATAGTGAAGCAAATACAGGAATAAGATAAACAAATGGAAAGAGAAACAGACAAAGATAGCATAAGCCAAGCCAACATTTAAATCAGCAGATATTTATCATGTTCCAGCCTTTATACAGAGCATGTTTTCAGACATAAGTAAACAGTAATACATTAGAAGGTGATACATGCTATGACAAAAATAGGGTGAGGGAAGAAGTTTGCAATAGAAGGAATCTTAATGAATTTTGATTTTTTTTCGAAAGCAGCTTATAGGAGTTACAAGTTTTTAAGGTAAATCTTTCAATGGAACTTGAACAAATGCTAGAGAAGCTCTGACATTTAGAGTTTAACGATGAGTTATAATAAAAAAAAGTACTTTAACTCTACATTTGCAGGTTTGATTAATAGGTAAATGATAAATAACCTGTTATTTATTCATGTTAAAATCTATGTTATTATAGTATTAATCTAGATAATCTAGATATGTAGAAGAATTGTATTTTAATTCTTCAAATAGAAGATAGTCATAATCTCAAATAAGTTCCTCCCAAGCAGATAGCTAATAAGCCTAACAGTTTTGATTACCTATAGTCAAGGTACCTGATGAGAGAATACCTGCGTTTAGACTAAAGCTCTTGAGTTTTGTGCATAAAAATACATATTGTAGCATAGCTTAAAGTGGTAAAAAGAGGAAATAATTTCCTTCAATATGGGAATTTTTAAGTAAATCAGTGGTATATCTAATTGACAAAATATGATTGCTGTATTGAAATGTCTATAAAATATTGGAAATGGAAATAAAATAATTTTTTACACTATCATTGTAACTGAGTAAATCTGTGGAACAAAAATAACTGAAAAATAAAAACAGTGCATTCTCTTTGCTACTAAAAGAAGAGAAAGAAAAAAAAAACCTTTAAAAAATCTATTTTATCCTTAAGTACAAAAATTAAAACTATGAAGCTAATCACAGTTTTTTTTTTAAATCACAGTTTTCTATATACAATTATATATTAACAATATGCTTGTATAAAATGAGCATAGTTTTAGCTAAGAATTTTTTTATATTTTCAAAATTCCTCTTAAAGAGAAAATTATATTTAGTTATTTACTTAAAAAAATTGTCATCAAGGGCTATTCAAATAAGAATCTACATTTATTCTCAAGTATAATAAAAAGATCATTTTTAGGTCAACTAGGGGTTACTGCATTCTAGAGTATCTAAGTACTATATGTGTAAGAAGTTTAACACATTAGTTGGAATTTTTTTTTAATTTAAAGCTACTCTTATCCTGCCATTTTAATTTTTAGTCATTCTTAATATGCACAGAAATTATCAGGCTCATAACTGCTCATTAGGAAGTCAATGGTTAGAACTATATTAAGCAGCTGATGACCCATGCCAGCTAGTAATACACAGTGATTATCTGTTGAATTTATCATTTACTATTATCACTTCAGTTTTATTTTAATGGAATAAAAATGAGATAATGAATTGTACAAAGATCATAGCTTCTGTTGAGAACAGTATCACATAGAAGAAGTGAATATCAGAAAACTTCTCAATTTATTTATATCAGTCTGCTCTTTATCATCAAAAGTCTGGGCAGGTCAGAAGGTGACATAGATGGTGGAGTAAGAGGACCCTGAATTCATCTCCCAGAGACAAACCAAAATTACAACTGTTTGCATAATGATTTTCATAACGATATCCTTCCCATATCTATGGGAAGGACCAGAAGATGAGCAAAAAATATCTATTCC